AAAAAAAAAAAAAGAATAATAAACATTTTACCAAATCAATTTTTAATTTTACATACCTACGTTTATTTAATCCACAGGTATATGAAGGTACGATATTGAGAGAGCTGCAAAATTTCAAACATTATTTAACTAAAAGGGGTAATGCATATAAACACAATAATGTGGACAAAATGTTAGAAGTATATTCATGGTTTGTGCTTCCTCAATTTAGAAGTAAAGGTTTGTTACTTAATAATTTATTATCCAACTTGTTATTAGTGAATATGAATAAGTCGATATTTTTAAAATGGTTTAAAGTATGCAATGGTGGGCATTAACTTGTTAAAAAGTTAAAGTTAAAACAAATTAACTTTTTAACTTAACTAGTTAGTTATTTTTATTTTTAATTTATTAACTTATTCAGTTGAATTTTGTATTTTTGTAACATAACTTTTTATAGTTAATTATCATTATTCTACAGTTGAGTTAATTTTAATTTTTTTTTTTTTTTATCACATGGAATGGACAGATAAAACTTATTCTTTCGATAATTTATTTTTCTAATAATATTGTAAAATAAAACATAGTAGACTTACAGTAAAATTTAAACTACTACTGACATACTAATACAGACAAGTTTAGTATAATTTAAAGTTTGTAAGTTAACATATACATAAGTTTCTGATAACAATGTATTATAATAATAATTTTAAGTTTAATGTTTGCACAGTGCTAAGCGTCTTGGTAAATGTTTGTACAAATCAAAATACTAGGACAATTTATGACTTATGAATAGGTATATGTTCAGTTTCTCTTAATTTATTCATTTATTTGAATTTAGGCATCGTTAAAATATAACAATAATATTGTTATTCTCTCCTTTGAAGTCAGACATTCTAAATTATAATATAAACATATTCAAATTTCCTTATTTATTTATTTAACAGTACCTAGGTCCTATGTTTCGTTCCATAACATCTTCTGATATATGTTCTCTAACTGTCTTGCATTTGTAATTTCGAACCATTATATAAATCAATTATTTGAAACAATTTATACAAGACAATATGCCCCACTTTTAGAAAGCCAACTAGCCCCAAATCATTTTTTTATACTTTTGAAGCAATTTGAACATTATGGACAATAATATTATGATTAAACAATACCTGAATCGTGTTCTACATACCTTTTATAGTTATTTTACTCAGTTGTAAATTGTTAAAAAATACAATTTAATTAGGTAAAAACAAAATTTTTAAAAGGTTAAAAAACGAAAGTTGATAACAATATTAAAAATATATATATTTATATAAATATATATTGATTAAAAAACTAAGAAACTATCATATATCACAACGATTCGTATAACGATGGTCATAATGCTGTTGATGCAGTATGTCCAACTAAAAAGCTCGATTTTAAAAATTGACTTTATCAGCTTACCCCGATACCCAACTAGCCCCGGTCACCCCTACTAAAAAATTATTTTTACAATAATTGTAAATTGGTAATTTATAAATACCCAATAGTTGAAATATATTTATGTTAAAATACCATAATCACACATGGTTCTATTTTTAGTGCGTGATTACTAAAGATTTTATTACATTGATACTTTATTAGGTACCTATATTACTTAGGTACGTTAGATGGTAAGTTTATTAAACTATACTTGCTAAGCAAGATTAACTGAGTAAAATAGAATGAAGTTACCMTTAAGAATGATGGGCTAATATGTTCATAATGTAAAGTTGGAGGATATTACCTAATAATTAGGATAAGTAGAATTGTCTAGGAATAAATACAAATATATTAATTCTAGACTGGCCGAAAAACAAATAGCCATGTAGAGAGTGCAAATACTAGTGATAAAGTAAAATACAACAATTGGTGAAAAACAAACATTTTACATATCAAATTTAACAAGATCTGGTACGATATAATATATGCTATAAATTTAATACCATGATAGAAATAATTTTAGATGAAAATATAAAACAATTTGGATAACAGAACAGCCCAGTACATGTACCAATTTTATGAAAATAATAACAAACTTAAAACATGGACAAATAGTTATAATAAAGAAAAATTGATATCTTGGAGCAGAATTAATTTGATAAAGTCATTGAAAGCCAAATTCCAGCCAATCATTCCAAATGAAGATTGTAATTCATTAGTTAAGAGAAAACCAAGCTAAGTTGAAAATATAATGTAGAAAATGTATATATATATTATATATATATATATATATATATATATACCTATTATCAATACGACATAAAACGGAAATGAAAATAACTGTTTGGTTTTCTGGTGAAAATGAAAGAAACGAGTTTATATAAGCGTACAATAAAGACAAAAATAATTTCTTAATGGATTTGTGATGAATAGCTAAAAATAAAAGGATATTAATATCGGACAACGCAGTACTTAAAGATAATTCAAAACTAAATATTATAAATTGAATGGCCAAATGGATTATTTTAGTTCAGAATTATTGTATCATAGTACTAATTATGATAGTAATTCTTGTATTGACCATTATATTATGTTTCCTTTAGTTAAATAACATAGATCACAAGTATATATTATATAAGTATTAAGTTATATATTAAGTATATGCTATTTATAGATAGAGGCAATAATGAAAATAAACAAACAAAAAATACAATTTATTTATACGTATTATACTCTTATGTAGGTAGTTACGTTACGTTTAAAAAAAAAAAAGAAGAAATTTGAGTAATTTATAATCATAAGCCTTAAGTTTAATCTTGTATTTCTTATGCACAAATATATTTTATGACTTATTCAATACCTAGTATCTAAATAACGCAATAATAACGACTAACAATTCTTCGAATAAAAGGAAAATAACATCTTGGATGACGACTAACTTCTTCAATTCTATTAAAATAAGAGATAAGATAAGTAAAAYAACACTTAAAACCCAAATTATATTTGATTGGTGATTGCGTAAGTAGTATAAATAAAAAATAATAGAATATGTGAGAAATGAATATTATAATACCTACTAATAAATTTAAAAGTCATCTAAGCATCCAACGGATAAGTAGGTACAAAAAACACTTGGAATATTATTAGGACAATGAGTATTAGGCAGTAAAAACTAAATACTAACACCCAGAAATTGTAGCTACATAATAATATTTTAATTGTTTTAAACAATACAACTTATAATAAACATTATGTCCAATACATTTAATGATTATATTTTTCATTATAAATGAAAATATAGCTATACAAGTATAGGCAGATATCATATCAAATAACGGAAACTCTTGGTTTTAATAATATACCTATGATAATAACGGTGATGAAAATATTACGACAATTAACATAAATGTTTTTTTCTGAAAACGAACTGATGGCTATAATAAAATTAATTCAGAAAGAATGATTTGGTCATTTAATAGATAACAAGGATTTGGTGTTATTCTAAACTAATGCACCTATTATTATAAATTTCAGATTACATTAATAAAAACCGCTCGGCARTTATATATTTAGCAAACATGAATTTGATAAAAGTATATTTTGATACATATGTACATAAAAATCATTAATTATTCCATTCAAAAAATGTTAAAAGAAACGTCGAATTATTCGTTCTAAAATAGCCTCAGCAATAATTAAAATATTAGAAAATTGAACTTGAAAAATGTATCATGATTCACGAATAACAAATCCATAAATGAAATACAATTTTTATTCAAAGAATATATTGGTATCTAAGAATTAAAATGTTTTTATWGCGTATTTTAATAATTTTGTTTACGATTCTCTTTATGTAGGGAAAATATGTATAGAAATATTTTTGGACATTCCAAARGCATTCTACTCAGTTTCAGATGAGAAACTTTTAGGTAAATTAAAAAAATAATAATGGTTATGAATATTTTYTGGCTTTTGTTTTAATCTCGTCTATGTCATAGCCTATATAAGCTTTAAAACWAATGAAAATATAAATGATTTTCAAACAATAAGATATAAATTTCCCACAAGGAACCATTTTGGGCTTATTCTTTTTTCAATTTTCGTAAATGGTTTACTTGAGTTAGGTATTATTTCAATACCATTCAAGTCAGTATTATTTTTGTAAGTTTATAATTAATGTGAGTTGGAAACGAAAGCGAATTTAAGATTAGTAATAACTAATAAATAATAATAAGTTAAAGGAATTTAAAAAATAGCTAATCGCTCAATAAGTAACAATAAATCCGTAATTATTCCATTTTTCTTATGTAATATAAATTATCCAAAAGATACTATTACCTATTGTTTTATTATTATAGACTGTAGTAAATTTCATGAATCTAAATAAAGTACACCCAAATACAATTTTTTAAATTATGTTCGAAAAACATATAAAATCGGTATCACACATTGAAAATAATAATATTCATACCAGAAAAATTATACATTTAAAGAATAATTATGAAATGTTTTAGACATTATAGTGATATCATATTCATAAGAGTAATTTATCTGGCTAGAGTAAAATATATTTTGACATAATAATATGGTTAAATTGTGTGAGTGTCAGCTAATAAAAATGCCTTAAAAAGTTAAAACAACTCGATGCAGTTATTGTAGACTGTAATACTGATAATTTTATTTAGAATTATATTAAAACATAATTCAGTACGTGTACATCAGCTGACCGAGACACACGTGTATTGCCGGTCTACGTTAATTGCATTTATGGCTCCCGATAGCAGTCCCGATAACACTCCAATCGATAAGGTATGTTGTTTTATTATGCCCCCCTAGCCTAGTAACATCATCACACATCCATCTCTTCACGATAGATGACATAAATTCAAACCTCAACTCCACTATACTTTCAGTTCAAAATTCCAACACTCAAAGAACGTTCGCAGAAACTACCGCCAATGTCCAATTTCCTAAAACATATCAATGATAATATTTAATACTATTGAAGACAAACCCCCAAATCAAATATAAATGAGCATTTCGTCAACTTACTGATCCAAACAACATTAAATTTGCTTTACGCGTATCTAATAACCGATTTTGTATCTACTTTACAAACATAAATATTGTAGAACAGATGTTTCGCAAACTCCGGACTTGCCTTAATCGGCTCGTGGACGACGATGACTCGTGCTCTGATGGGAGAAGGTTACCACAATAATGTGGTATTGTTACCACAACGTGCATAAATGTCGTCCATATAGGTTTGGAGCCGAAGA